CTGTCCTGCGGGATGGGCGCCGGGAGAGAGGGTTCCGTGCGCGCTGTTGCGCGAAGCTGTGCGTTCTACACGGCAAACAAAGCAAGGAAACAGAGTCTGTCCTTTACTCCTGACCGTACCCGGTTGCTTTCTCTGGAATTTTGGTATTTCACGTATTCGTTCCTTTGCTGTGTTTTCCTAGTCTGCTTAAAAGCACTTGTATGCAAACCTGGGAAGCCACCAGATGCCAAGTCTTGACTCTCACTAGTTGAGTCAGTTGTGAAGAAAGCAGCGTTAACCGACCAGTGATTGTGTAACCAAGTAATCAAACTGTTGACTGGTCTCTTCTTGTTGGAAAACTCAACAAATGAAAGGAAATATGGTGGTATTAGGATTATTTGTTCATGTAGCAGGCTAGAAACAAGCAGAATGTTTAGATTGGCTTGTTTTCTAAGTATAAATTCTAGCCGGCGTGTTTTTGTGCAGCCTGCTCACAGAGATTCAGTTTGAGCAATGATGTGGTCACGATCTCCTTTGGCACACTTCTGCTTTTTGTGAGTATGTCTTTGGGCTCATTACAGAACCAGCTAAACAGTTCTTAGTTTTCGTATTCTGGAGCTCATCCAAAGGCTCTTCCAGAAAGCAGACCTGAACCTTTGTCACTGAGGGTCCACACAGACGCTCAGAAGGACATCACGTTGTGATATATACTTGAGATTCCATTGTTTAGTATGGGAGCAATACATATTTTTCTTTATTTGTAGAAACCAGAGCAAAGTTGATGCCTGGCCCTCTTGATGGAGTTAAGACATTTTAAAGGATATTTTTTTCTCTTTGTGTTTCTAGGAATAGCAGCAATTAATTAAAATTTTTGTTGACTTGTGTTTTATAGATGTTTGTCTTAAACTGCTTATTTTTAAACTTAACACTACTTTTTTGTTTGTTTGTTTGGGTTTTTTTGTTGGTTGTTTTTGGTTTTTTTGTTTTGTTTTGTTTTTTTTTTAATGAAAATTGTCTTTTATATGTTTAAAACTTGTTTCTCAAAGCCTGAAAAGGAAAATCCAGCTTCTAGTCACCAGAAGATGGTGCTGTGTGGTTCAGTTTGAAAAATCCATATCAGAACAGTTTATCTGGTTATAATAACCCTTCATGTCTTAGAAGACTGGTATCAGAGGTGCATTTCAACAATGCTTTTTTTTTTTTTTTTTTTTTTTTGGTTAGCAGATAATTAATATAGACAATATTTCTAATGCCTTTACTATAAAGCTAGTAGTCAGTTCCAAGTCAGTCTTTGAAACTAGAGTTCTTCTGGGAATTCCTGCCCGTGCTCCTAGGAGTTTTCACTGTGACCATACCCAAAGGGTATAATCTGACTGGAAACTTTCTTAATGCCTCTGCTAATGAAGCAAAATTATTTAGTAAAAGAGCTGTAGCTCCTTCATACACCTATAGAACTGTCTATTTCTGTTCGTAGAGGCAGATTTTCTTAACCAATTTTGAGCAGTTCTGGTTCATGCTGATGCTAAAACTTTTAATTAGAAGGGCCAATGAAGCTTTATCACTTCTGTTCCCCATTAGGTCCTGTGCTAAAGCAATACTAGGTGAGACCTACTAAATGTATACATGTAAGAAAAAAACAAGTGGTCTGCTTTTCTCATAGGAAGATGATAATTTAAAAAAAAAAAAGCCCAGAGATACTGAGGAAAAATAATGCCTGTGCTCTGAAAATCTGTTACTTGGACCTAGGTTGGTAAGGTTTGCTTGCAAAGGCAGAGCTCTGTTATGATACCTGATGAAGCAGTAAGGATCCATCAAAGGGAAGTGAGAATGTGAATAATTACTATCAGTAGCATGGAAAAAATAAATCTGTGCTCTTATCCTCCTGTGGCCTATATTTCCTCCTGTGGTTTTTCCAGATGAAAAATTAACTTGCCCAGAATGGTTTACAGATATTATTAGTGTTGTGGTGACAATTCTGGTAACCAAAGTTGATGCTGGTACTTCTGCCCAGAAATCCTTTTACAGTGTGTTCATTGTGCAACTGTTACCAGGTAATTAAAGCTAATATACAGGATGGCATACAGGCTTTCAGCTTCATCCCAAATGCTACATGAGCCTTATGGGAGAACATGAACATTAGTCTGTATCTTCATCAGAATGCAGATACACACAATTACCAAATAATGAAAATGGCTCTCTTTTGGTTATAGGAGATAATGGTGTACATGACATGTTTTTCCCCCCTTAAAATAGAAAGCACCAACCTATTCCTACTCTCAAGAAGATCCAAAAAATCTTCCATGGCATACTATAAATTTTAATGGAGACTCATCACTCTGAGTTTGCTTCCAAACTTTGTCATGTGGCTATTGAAATAGGTAAGCAGATTCAATAATTGTGTGTATCAGTCCTTAAAAATATCACCCATGATATACTGTATTTTGAGGGGCCTTTGTCTGCCTTCATGTTTGTTCTTTTTTCTGTGATGCCTCATTCCTCTTCTGCTTTCTTCTTCTTTGCAAATTTACAATTTTTTCTTGCTCTATTCTCTATTATCGTAAAAAGAAATGTTTTCTTTTTATATGTTGCTGCTCTTACTACATCTGCTCTTCTTTCTCCACAGCAGCCCTCAAAGTTTTTATACAAGAGATCAGTCATGAGCTGACCACTGAGTCACAGCAGAACAGCCTGTCCTGCATGTCCAGCTCACTGCTCATTTTTCCTTCTTTCTGTAGGTGGGACAGGGAAGTAAAGTGCATAATGTTTTTTCATGACTTTGCAGAAATCTACCAATACATCTCAGGGAGTTTGGCAGAAACAATGTATATTATGGTTGATTAGCAGTGATGAGAGATGTGCATGTGAGCATTAATTGCTCTGGAGAGAGAGAATGAAGGGCTTACTCACCTCTTCAGTCTCTCTGAGTTCCCACACAGGCCTTTGTGGCTCCTGCAGGGGGGTTAATTAGTCTAACCTGGCAGAGGCAACTACATCTGCAGTTTCTAACTAGAAAGAGTACCACAGCAAAAGTCATCTTTATGACACTCAAAGAACTTTTTCTGGAATTGTCTGTGTTTCATTGCCTCTATAGCATGTATGCTAATCCCGTGCTTTCATTCAGAGCCCACATAAACAGCACAGAATAGCATTCTGGTTGTATCATTTTCGTAGATCAAGAAAAGATGTTGTGGTTTGTTTTAATCATAGCACTTAAACTAAAGCATTTTAATAGGTGCTTCACTGAAATTCTAGGTGAAGAACAACTGTCTCCTGATGTGACAATAATAACTTTAGCCAAGTATTCCATATATTTGAATTTATGTCTGTTCATATGTAGCAACTGTAATATTTCATGGTATTTCAGTGATCTTCAGAAGAACATGAACATGCTTCCTGCCCAACTCATGTGCAGTGTGCATATATACATATTTGCATATCTGTGTATTATATTTTGTATTCTAGTTTTCTTTTAAACATTTTTTAACTGCATGTGCATTGAAATTGCTAGTTTGCATTTTGGCAGAGGATTGGAACAACTGTGAAAACACCTGGTAAAAACTGGTAGGAAACTCCTTTGCAGTTGATATGCAGCTGTGTCTTTCACTGTTGAGAGAAAGTGCTGGGCCTGGCTCATCATTCTTTTGGGTATAGTAACACTTTAAGGACTCAGTTACCTGTCTCTGTGGTGGTGTGCACAGAGAAAATCCCAGTGGCTGCACAGTGATGAATGGCAGGGTTTTGGCTTGTAATTTTATTAGTGGCAACAGTTCAAATGAAATTACAGCTATTATGCTCCATTATAAGTACTAAACAATTTACTTCTGCTGAAATTCCTACTGACAGCTCTGCCTGCCAGCATCCATCTTTTGTGTGTGTATGGATATTCAGGAGATCATAGGGGAGAATAAATCACTCTCTGGGCAATTTACTGAGTTGTATGAAAGTGAGAATAAAAGCTTTTCAGCATGAAAAATAAATCCATGTTCCTTTTATGTCAGCTGTGTGGAGATGCTGCTAAAATAACAGGATATAGGATCTCATTTCTGGGGTTTTTTTCAATGCTGAAAAAATTAAGAATGTACAAAGTAGTTGGAACCACTGCTACTGCTTAAAACACCTCTTTCTCTTGTTCTGTTTTCCTGTGGAAATTGGTTTTCTATCTTGTCTATCTTTCTAATACTTTTCTGTCAGTCCTTTCCATTGCCTCTATTGGCTGCTGTAAATGGAGAGCAGGAGTTGCAGATAACCTGGGAATATTGGGAAAACTGCTGAATTAATAGATTAGGATGACTCAAATGAATGCCCCTGCTGGAGGAAAGCTGGGGGGAATTCAGCCTCTGTACAGCATGTTTGAAAGCAATGCACTGAAAATTCACTATATGTTGGATATGCACATTGGAACCAGCATGTGCTGTCTTTGCCCTGGTCCAGTGCACAGAAAACATGGTGAGTAGGAAGGGCTGGAATTACTTTGATAGAAAATTTAAGAGCAAAAGACACAAGTCCACAAAAAATCTTTGGTAGTTCTGCTGTTCATGGAGCACATGGTTAAATAATAAACAAAGTTTC